TTCAATAACAATAAATAAATGGATAGCACATCATATACTAGGCTGTTTGTATAAATTATGTATTTTCTTTCACATTGTTTCTTTTTTAAAAACTATTCTACATTCTGATTCTATCTATTAACTAGATTTCTTACTGTACAGTACTTTCATCTGCCTAACAGCTAATACTGTACTCTGCCTTTTCTTCATGCAGGTATTTTTAATTACCTTTGCAAATATACACAAAAATATATAAATTATAACAATTCTATCTGTAATCCCAAATGCAAAATACTGAAAAACCAATGGGATACAAAATTGGTAGTCAAAAGCTAAAATTTAAACATAATTAGTAAAACAGCCAGTGAGATAAATGCCTAGCTTTTTGGGACAGAACACTGTCCTTCGTCAGGGCTAACTTTTCTGTAATTGAATACACGTTCTTATTATCTAAATATTGTATTTGTATACAATGTAATAATAATCTACATTGCTACAGCCCTCGAAATTAGCATCGGCATTCTTCAATTGTTGAGTCCGGAGCTAACGACGGCACTAAATTGCAGAGGCCCTTCTGTTGTCAAGATAAGCTTTGATGTAGCCTAAATTAACAGTGAACGAAAATCATATCTTCTCCAAGCTTTTAATTGTTTAGTCATGTTAAAATAAAAACACTTAGTGCAAAACTTGAGGCTAGTCAGAAGCGTGCTTGCCGTATTATTTTAGGAAAAACTATCAGTCCTACATTATAAACATGCTAGAACTCTTAGAACTACTGTATCTAGTTGTTGCACTTGTACGTCTTTATATTTTGTTTTTTGAACTTTTTAATGTATGTATGGATTTTGCATGTGACCTTTTGTTCCTTGTAAAAGTTTTGGCCTTTGGCCACGATCTGTAACTTGTTTTTATTATGTATATGAATATGAAATAAAGTGAAATAATAATAATAAAATAATTATTATAGTTTGTATGACTAAACTAGGAGCCTAGCCTAGGTCTAGGTTGCACCAGGCAGTAGAGTAGTATTCCGTATTCTCTCTGTAGTATGCCAACAGGTAAGACAAGTTGGTAACAAACCTATACAGTAATGCCACTTCTAAGATCACCATTTCCAGGACTTCCTTATCCAAACCAGCAAACCAATCTTTTTCAAAGATTCATTCTTCAAAAATGCAATCGACTTATTATAATATTATTGAATATTTTCGCCAGTCCCAATTTTTTAATCTTCCTCTCGCGACGACCCATTCACATCAGTTGGCTGTGTCATTATCAGCTTGTTACGGTTGAGTGAATCAGCTGACTCCCTGTCTAGTGCAAAATTTACGAAATAAGAACTGGGGCAAATTGTTATTTTACACATAATTGAGACATTTTCAGAAGTGAAAACCCATATAAATGAAAAGAACGGCCAAATTTACGTTAGAATATCTAAAGTTTGACACAATTTTTTATGGGATTACCGAATGCAAGCCTACCTATCTTTTAACACTAGCCCAAAATCCTGTAGCACCAGTTTTTTTTGGGGACCCAGTTCATGAGCCTCGTTTTCGAATACTGCGCTCCAAAATTAAGTGACGTCACCGTTATTGTGGTCTCCCATCCCTCTATTTTATATTAAATATTAATTGTTTCATCCCCGCACCCCACTTTAATTATTCACTATAGGCCTAGGCTTAGATATTTTCTCCTCTTTGTTACTGACTTATCCAGCTGTTGTATGACTACTTTCTTCTCATTGGCGGCTGTTTGTATTCGGCGGCCTCTTTGACATTCCATACATTTGGCGCAGCGGCCAAAATGATCGAACACCGACCTAGAAAAGGCCTACGCTCTAATTAAAAGGTAATAATATTGATTAATTTATACACTTATCGGGTATATTTTCAAACAACACCGCCAACGTCTCGCAACTCACTTCCAGCGGCCTAGCCTAAGCTGCAGCTGTCTATATTACAAATCGACCACCGCGCAGCGGATAGCACCGCTAGACCTTTGCTATAGCAGCTACGATCTTACTAATTACTGTAATTACTACAGTATATAGCTTTTTGATACTTTTAGAATGTTTTTAATTATAAACATTTCATGTTTTTTCCATTTTGAAGTATTTGTGCTCATTAGTAATTTAGATTTATCATTGATTTAACCATGATGGTTAGTACTTAGAGCTAAATGCTAGGCCTCTGAAAGTCCCCCATGGTACAGTAGTTGCCATTTTGCTGGAAATTTCCATTTCAAATTTCTCGAAAATGGTCTATACAATACTGGCCTAAACGATTTTAAAATCATTCAGGTGTACGTATTATTCAGGGGTATAGCCCCCTCCCCCCCCCCTTTAAAAAAAAAAGGCAAAAACGTTCCTGAACTTTTAAGAAATGATTAATTACGAAGCTTAATCATAGGTTAAAAGTTTATGGTTTATTAAGTTTATTAACCAATAATTATGATGGTATAGCGATAGTAACACCAGTAATTTTCTGTTTATTTTAAGTTTATTTTCTATAAATTGTTCTTAAACATTTGAAAGCTTACAGTAGATTTTCACAATTATGTTGTGGTAAACGGCAATGAAAAATAATAGTGATATGAATTTCAGAATATTCATTGTGGGCATCTAATAACATATTGTTCTAAAGAGGATTCACCTAAAAATACTGTTTTTATGTCGTAGGCCTACAAGTCTATATTATATGCCTATTACAGTATAGGCCAGAGTCTGGCATAATCTAGGTGTATTCACAATGATTTGTAACAATTTTCATCAAATTTTGGCTAAAGACAGATTCAATTGGTTAAAAAAAAATTTTGACTTTAGCCAATTGGCTATCAAAAGCGAAGGTTAGAGTGAGCTCAGTATATCCATACTGTAGTTAATAATATCAATTTTGTTTTTATTAATGTTATTATAAAATTTTTGTTTTAAATATTCTTTCAGGGTTCGTACGCATCCTTAAATTCCTTGATTGTCCTGGAAAAACAAATGAGCATTTTCCAGTACTGGAAAGTCCTGGAAATTTAAGGTTGTCCTTGAATGTCCTGGAAAATTGAACATTTATCACTAATTGCAGTACTACAAGTTGCCTAGTAACAGTAAATTGAATGAGAAACGTTCCCACGAGTAGGTTCCCACAATACATACTCTTGAGAGAATCAGGTCAAGTCTTTGTACGCCGCCAATTCAGGAATGTTATCAAAGACAGAAAGAATGTCATTGCTGAAAATGACTGACTGGTTGGTTCAGACAAACTTGTGCGATTCAGTGAATGGAGTTGTTCGCCTATGTTTTAGTAAAGGCGGTACTTTTTTTAAATCTTGTATATTAATTATGTTTGCATTTCACTTTAAATCAGATCTCGATAATCATAATCGTTTACTTTCTTGACATCTGCTATGGTGTTATTTGCTTTCTGTCGTGTGTAATATAAACAGTACTGAAATACTAAACTTTCAATCAGTTGAGCAAGTCTTGTCGCACGTGCTCAGCCCGTGAATTCGCTTTAGGTAATTCATCACTCTCCAGATGTGCACACTTGTTGAGCACAAATGGCCATGTTTTGGCCCTATCCAGCGCAAGGCAGTTAATTAACAATTTAAGTAAACCACGGGAACGTGTACTTCTGCAGTTATTTTCTTAGTGAATGGTCTTGAAATGGCGTTTACTATTAGAAGTTCTTGAATTTAGGGCAAGATATTTCGTTAATTATGTTTCTGAAGTTTACAAAATCATTGAAAAACAATGCTGGTCAGCAGCAGATCAGTGCCGGTAGGATGGTGCCATACGTTAACATTTTGCTGTAGAGTAGATTATAAAAGTTGTAGGTCTACAACTAAGGTCTAATAATAATAGACCTAAATATTAATAATAATGTTATGCCCAATAGTAACGAATAATAATAAATAATACAGTATAGTATAATGATGTGTTTAGAATAGGGCATAATTAATAGAGCATTAAATTAATTAATAATATAGTACATTATTTGTGTATCCAACATTTATAAACACCTAAATGTATATGAAATGAGATGCATTAACGTCTCCGCAACGTACACCCATCAAGGCTATATTGTTTTAATGTATGTACATGTCAACCTTGCCACAGCTGTTCGCTGAACAACCACCCTATACCCTTACTTGTGGGAATTCCTTTGCTTACAATCAAATTTTACACGTGTGCGAAAAACCTAATTTCCCACGAGCGTGGGAAAATGAGACAGGTCCATCGCCTCCGAATTAGAGTTTGATAAAACTTAATATACACTCAACTAACATGCATTTAAAAGTAGTACAGCATATATGTTTTATAATCAATCGCCGAGATTTTACTGTTAAGCTACTGTATATATTGTGTCCTTGAAAGTTGGAAAATTTGACCTTGAATGTCCTGGAAATTTGCTTGTTTAAAAACTACAAAATTCTCTTCACCATGTAGAGCAATAAAAATAATGCTGTTAAAAACATCCTCCAATCTTAAATTAAAAAATGTACTAAATGAGTGGTTCTTATCTTCTCGGTTTTACAGTTTTTCTTAATTGTGCAATACAATATCATCGTCATAAACTATATCTACTGTACCCAGTATTATGAAACTTCTATCTGATAGCATGGAGGAATAATACCTCCGTGCTATCAGAAGACTGTCCAAGTTTCACATGGGATGTGTTACAGACTTCTTGACAAACAATCCATCTAATCATAACCATCCGTTCCATCCACAATAAATGATGTTTACCCAATATCATGAAACTTCAATCTGATAGTACAGAGGTATTATCCATGCTATCAGAATGCTATATGAGAAGGTTGAAAAGAATTACATTGGGATGTGTTATAGTCAAGTTTTATTCAACTGATGTTGGTGTTGAATATATATAAATACAAACCCTATGAAATAATGTTATTTAAGGGAGAATTAATTTAAATTAATATTACACATTTACTTTTACCATTTAAAAAAAAATTAATGTAAGTCCTAATATTTGTTGGTTAAATCTAATATCATTTTTGTGTTACAGGCTGTATGCTAGTTGACTCATTTGCATAATTCACCAGAGCATGGTATCATCACAATGATGTATTATGATAATGAATATTCATTGTCAGACACTTGAAACTACAAAAATCAGGAAACTGCTGAAATGACACCACAGCAAGAGCAACTTCTAGATAGCATGTGCATGTGCGTTTCACCACAGCGAATCACGCACATTGTAACCTTCTACCGCTTGGATAGGCCAGGGAACATTTTAAAGTAAGTCCACAATCAGACCAACACATAAGTTACTTATATGGGTCATTCCGTGCCAACTCAACAAATGGGATGGCTGGGTACTGTCTCAGATTTTAGAATAAAGATAATTAACTGAAAATTGATATCTAGACTAACTTTTGGCTGTAGAACAGAAATATAACATGACTTTTGGTATACCAGACCCCTAACTTTTGGTTGCGTAATTTTTCTTCCATTTTTAGACCCCATTAAAATACCCAAATCAGTTATTAAATAAGTCTTATGCAACAAATTAATAATATATAGTTGGAAATGTTTCACTACAAAAATTTCTGGATTCTTAACTTATCATTTTAGGGGGTAATCGTAGGTCAAAAGGTCATTCGGGACAAAAAATGCACAAAAATGCCTCGTATTCATGGTGACCTTTGACCCAGTGGGCAAGTACGCTTGTTAAAACTTGCACCATTAATTAATTTATATATGATGATCAAATGTTCCAAATATCAGCTTGGTGTCTCTATCCCTTCATGTTTAAAAAGCGATTTGAAAAGGGGTATATTTTTCAATTTGTGACAGTATCAGTGCGTAAATGTGACAATATTAATTTTTGAATAACGATAATATTAAAAATAATCTGCCTAGACCCTTGAAACTTATAATTCTAAAACAACTTTATGTGCTTATTTCAGGAATGCAGTTCGTTATTAAGGGATATAGTGTTTCATTAGTAAGATATGTCCCTCCCAAAAATGGCCCAAGTGCAAGAATTGCGCAATAAAATTGTATTACTGTTGATTTCAAATGAGCATGATATTATCCATGTACTGTCTAGACAGCCATGAAACCCTTCCATTCTAGGACAACTTTTTGTGCTGATTTCAGGTATGCAGTCTGTTAAAGGGATGCATTGTTTAGGGGTCGTGCAAAAACTATTTTAACGCAATTGCCGCGTTATCGCCCTGATCACTATCACATCTACCGCGAGTTCGTTAATGAGGCAGGTCAGTGAAGCATAAGATTGCTACCGGGGTAGGTCATGAATATTTATTAGCTGTCTGCACAGTCTACCCAAATCGGCCGATTGTAGCATAACGCGACTACCGCGATGCGATGGATTCATGAGTTTGTACTAGGAGTAACATCTTTTTGGTGTGGGAAACTTTCAGGCAAATTCACACAGCACGAACTCCTGGCTGTGGACTTGATTAAAAACTGGCAGCTAGCCAAATTAACTACTTGTATTTGTCTCTGTGATTCCGACTACAATACCTTGTCTTACCTCTACGTCAATGAACTCAGGCAATGCAACAAGAACGTTCTTTTTTAATTTCATATACTGATACACAAGTATTTTTAGGCCTACTTGGTGATGTGTGATTATAAACTCATTTCTATCCCTACCCTACACGAAATTCGACATGTACGGTCTCAATGGGATTTCCCCCGTAATTTCAGGATGGCCTGTATTTTTTTTCGCAGCTATGAAATGAGTACCATTTAATTATATACAATGAATAAAAAAGTTTCCATAGAAATCTCTACGGTTACACCCATTGCTTAACAGTGGATAAAAAGCTTCAATAAATTAACCCTGTATTGTTTAATTTTAGCTGAATTTGTTCACCCACGAAGGCCTATATAGCTTGCCTTATTCATTATACAGCATCACAATTTTATCTAAAGAAGGCGGACGCCAAAATGTTAACATTGTCGCACATAAGTTTTGGTTTACTATATCTCCGATGCTACACATAAAATAGTAGGCTTACAAATACTAGAGTCAAAGAATATACAGTAGATAGAATTGTAGGACGCTGTACAACGATGAGAATTTTTCCCACTACTAATTCCATTTTAGCAGTCTTTTATATTTAGCAGCCGACATTCTTCTAGGCAGTCAATACGCACACGGAGTCGAAAACTACTGATTAGGGCTGATCACGTGAGCGATATCCCTGGCCGGTGAGCAGTATTCTATTTTTAGCAGAGGTGTTCTATTTTTAGGCACTATCTCCTCTTACATTCCTTTTCAAGCAACGTATGAAGATCAGGGACTGTTTTCATGGAAAACGTTATGTTCAAAGGAAATGTTTACATTTTTAATTATTTGTTTAAAAATAACTAATAATAATTGCATAATAATAATTGCATAAAAACTAAAATAATAATAATAATAGAGAATGCATTTGAATAGATTCTATAATTGTTGACTGCTGCTGTTTGTTGGATAACAGGCTTACCGTCCCTACACTATTCTAAGTATCGTCTGGTCTGGTGAGCATCATAATTATCAGGTCCACATTCATGCAGCTCCATGCGAAAGAGCATTACCACCGTCGAATGCTTACAGCTTGAATTCATAATATTCTGCTACTGTAATATATGTAATACTGTAGTGTTTAATCTATTTATTAAATTAGGCCTATCTAAGTTTTTAGTGTTGAAAAGTGGGGTTCAATTTAGCCCTATCATATTTTTTTTTTCTCTGTCCATGCAACATTTCAATAAAATGAAACATGAATAATTGAACAGCATTCCGGGTGTATCAAACAGTAACTGTAGGCCTACTGTAGTATTTCTATTATGGATACGGTTAAGTGTGTTGTTTCAAATGTGTAATTGTTTACCTCTACACATCAGTAAAACATAGTATATTTTACGCATCCTATAAATTAATCATTTTGAAGTGATTGTATATTTCGTGACATTTTTCATGTGATGGACCAATAAAGTTTTATCTGAGTGCCTCCACGCCTTTCATTTACGATCTTGTAGTACGGTACTTCCAACTTATCACTCAATGCTCAGAACAAAACCAGCATCAAGGCCACGGATAGAGACGTCAGAGTTCGACGTACGTCATTTTGCGCGTACAATATACTGTAGAAATTAATAACTACCGTACGTGCGCACACCACCATAAACCCTTTTGTACGCCGCCACTATAATGGATAAGCCAGATCAGATGCAAAACTGTCACTAAAAACAGTACTATAAATACTCGAATAAGCTTCAGTGTGGCGCTTAGCGAAAAAAACCCCCAAAACTCAGGTTTGGTGCGGCGCTTATTCGAGCATTTACGGTATTATATACTGGGCTTTGAATGTACAGCTGTATGCAAGCAATATCATATTAGGCATATATCGTTGCATGAAGCGAAACACATCTTAACAATTTCCTTCTTTCTTCCCAGAGTCAAATCTACTTGAACCTTAATTAATTGGTGATAATGAGTATAATTAGTACTGAATAATTACATCAAATAGGCCTATCTGAAAAGAAATAATATTTAAATTCATAATTATAAAATATTGTAAAGTAGAATTGTGAATATTTCTTTGATTAATTTTTAATATTCAGTTAAATTAAATCGATAGACAACGTTCGTACTGGCAGAATAATGGGTGGAGAACCTCATAAATCTACCATAATTCCAATTAATTGCTGCATTGGAGTTATCTATTTCTTTAAAACGTTATACCAGTAGGCTTGGTACAAAACCTGCATTTTGACAGACATAGATAGTAAAAGCATTGTTAAACTGATTTCCCTAAAATAAATACAAACCCACTTTGTCACAGTCATTTTTTTTTTTAACGAAAAGAGTTCATTTTGATTTGTTTACCTTTGGGTTTTGTATGGTTGTACTTTATCTTCATATTTTGAAGCGGACAATTTTATTATTACAATGGAAACTCGATACAGAACCCAATATTTACACATTCTTTCTATGTCGTCTGCATTACCACCGCACTTAAAAAATATGCTTGCTTAATTCAAAGTCGGCCTACTGGCCGCTGCACATACTCGTACTCATCATAGTCGTAAGTTGTTTCTAGTCTTGGAGTCCAGACATCTCAAAGCTTCCACTTAGAACATTCGTCATGGCTGTGCGCACGAAGTCCTTAATATGCCTGGTATTTATAGACTAGTCGAGTACAATTTTTTTGTAAACGGACCACGTGCGGCAGGCAGACCTGGGCGCTGATGACAGGTACGGTATCAGGCGGAAATAGTTTAGGTAGAAGTCTCCTATGCCTATAGTCACTTTATATAAATAAATAATACAGTACTGTATAATAAATAAGGCCTAAATATATAAAGCCTTTAGGCATAAAGTACTACTACTAGGCCTATGAATTATAATTACAGTACTAAAACTACCACGCTACCTATACTACTACATAAGTTCTAGAGTACTACGGTAGTAGTACCCTCCAGCTAAGCCGGCTCTAAGCCTAACTCTAATGGCTGGACTAGGCCCTAGATCGGTTTTTTTTTTTACACTTGATTGTAACTGACTGGTGAAAGTAAAATATAATACAAAAATTGCCGACGTGCTCCATCAACCTTTCGTAGGTTCGTACAGAATTTGTCTCATACAGAATTCTTCGTAAACGTAAACAACAAACTTCTACCCCGTGGACGACGTACCGCGATTGCCGCGGTAAACAGAATGAGTTAGCTATCATGCATATTCATTAGTTATTTCGTTAGCTCGTGAACGGTGAATATTAGGCCACGCCCATATGCCGCGTTAGTGAAAATCAGCGACAAAACAGCCGATAACGCGGTACTCGCGTTAAAATAGTTTTTGCACGACCCCTTAATTAGTAAGATATTTTGCCTCAGAAATGGCCCAAGTGCTAAAATTACACAATTGTGCGACTATTATTGATGTATTTCAAATGAGCATAACATTAACAGTGTACTGTTTAGAACCATGAAACCTTATATTCTAGTACACATTTGTATGCTTATTTAATTCATGACGTCTGTTAAGGGACAGAGTGGTTAGTTAGTATGATATTTTGCACCGAAAAATGGCTCAAGTGCAAGAATTGCATAGTAACATATATTTTAAATATGAGCACAATATTATCAGTGTACTACTGCCTATAGCCATAAAACCTTTAATTCTAGGAAAACCTTTTGTGCTTATTTCAGTCACGTAGTCTGGTAAGGAACACAGTCTTTAATTGTTGCGAAGAAGCCAATTCATATTCTTGACAACAATT